TATAGATTTAAAAGTAAATTTCATTATTTCAGATATTGGTGCCGTATCGATGACATTTCGAATCGATACATTAATTTGTTTTAATGTACGGTTCACACTGACAAGCATTTGACTGTCTCTTAGAGCCAGACTTTCAACTCTATTTTAAGTACCTTATATTTTCAAAGTTCAACCTTATTTTGCACCAATGAATTAATAATAATCCACATGCGCATTTTCGAGATTATAGTTTTAGTAGTTTCGTACGGAAACTAGGCAAAACGGAATAGAAAGAAAAAGTACGGCGATGCTGCAACTTAACCTCAACAGTTGTGATTTATGTCAATTCTAAACGTGTAATGAACAAATAAAAAATATGTGAAGTTCGGCCAGCCGAACTTTTAATCCCTGCCCCTTTCTCACGGTAAATAAATATAATAAAAACAAGAAAAAAGCTATAAGTTCGGCCGGGCCGAACTTTTAATACCCTCCACCATTTGGTACAAATTTGGCAATTTCCAAAAAAAAAAAAAAAAATAAATAAATAAATAAATAAAATCCTTTTAAAATTCGTCAAAATATTTAAAATACCGAATGCCTATACGACGATGTAGACCTACATAGGCAACGTTTGTCAAAGTTATTACAATATTTAAATGCGAAACTTGAAGAAAAATCTGATTATAATGTAGCTAAAATCATCAAAATACCGCAGATAGGGGGTACCGTTATATGGGGGCTATACGAAGACGTGAACCTGCATAGACAATTTTCTGGCATGGACTGAAGTATCTATTACGAACTTCACATGCGAAATTTGAAACAATCCCGGTAAATAATGTCGCTAAAATCACCAAAATACCGAATGTTGGGGGATACGGAATATGGGGGCTATACGAAGACGTGGACCTACATGGCTTATTTTTTGACTTAGGATGTAGTATTCATTATGAAATTCAAATACCAAATTTGAAACAATCCCGGTAAATAATGTCGTTAAAATCATCAAAATACCGAATATCGGGAGGTACCGTTGTATGGGGGCTATACGAAGACGTGAACCTGTACAGATAATTTTCTATCTTAGGCTTCAGTATTCTGTCTTAGGCTTTAGTATCGGGAGGTATCGTTATATGGGGGCTATATGATAACTTGGACCTACATGGCCCATTTACGAACTTAACCTGTCTACAAATATACAAAATAACATGTGTGCAAAATTTTGGCCTTCTATCTGAATTTATTCGAAAGATAGCGTGATTACAACAGACAGACAGACAGACAGACACACAGACAGACACACAGACAGACACACAGACAGACACAGACAGACACACAGACAGACAGACGGACATGGCTAAATCGTCTTAGAATTTTACGCTGATCAAGAATATATATACTTTGTTGGGTCTGACATGAGTATTTCGAGGAGTTACAAACGGAATGACAAAGTTAAACGGAATGACAAAGTTATTTTAAAAGATGAACTGAAATTCCCAAAATGAAAAATTATATCCCTAAATTAAGTGATTTATCTAATATCAAGAAGCACTATGTGGGTAGGTATCTTCTGAGAAAACAAACACTAAATTCCTAATTATTGGAAGATTAAACTTTCGCCACCCAATCTGGCTTGCAACCTTCGAAATGAAGTCATGAAATGATGACACTAATTAGGCAGTGCCCCAAAGTGGGGTCCATTATAAAACATAAATATATAAGGGTGAAATAAAAAAAAAACTTAAAGTCAAACGCAATAATTTTTACATTTTTATACCCTCCACCATACTATGGAGGGTATATTAACTTTTTCATTCCGTTTGTAACTCCTCGAAGTACTCATGTCAGAACCATCAAAGTATATATATTTTTGATCAGCGTAAAATTCTAAATCGATTTTGCCATGTCTATGACAGAAAATTATCTGTGCAGGTCCATGTCTTCGTATAGCCCCCATATAACGGTACCTCCCGATTCAAATTTTGTATTTGAGATTCGTAATGGATACAACAGCCTACGACAAAAAAATGTCTGTGCAGGTCCACGTCTTCGATAGCCCCCATATAACGGTACCTCCCAATATTCGGTATTTTGACGATTTTAGGTACAATTGTTTGAGATGTCGTATTTGAAGTTCGTAATGGATGCTACAACCTGTGACGGAAATTGTCTATGCAGGTGCAGGTCTTCTCACAGCCTCCTCCCTATATGCGATATTTTGATGATTTTAGCTACATTGTTCACCGTTTATTTCAAGTTTCGAATTTGAATATGGTAATGACTTATGGAAAACAAGGCCTATGTAGGTCCATGTCATATAGACCCCAATATAACAGCTATATTCGGTATTTTTAAAATTTTAACAGAATTTAAGGACTTTATTTTTTGAAAATTTCCAAATTCGTTCCAAATTATGGAGGGTATTCAAAGTTCGGCCTGGCCGAACTTACTGCTTTTTAACTTGTTTTAATTGTATTGAATCATAGCAAATATGTCGAAAATAGCATAAAATTGTATAATAGGTTTAGATTTCTTCAAATTGGTCACTTTTGGCACGAATTGGCCTCCAAACGGCCAATGAAACCGTTACACGCTGCCCAAATGTTGCTCTGCGGTATTATGGCCCATACCCGGCGAAGCACTTGCTTGAGGTGATCAACACTTTGGTATTTTTTAGTGCTAACCTTGCTTTCCAAAATACTCCGGACACAATAGTCCAAAGGATTGGTAACCGGAGATTTTGGTGGCCATTGTGCGCTGGAAATGAAGCGAAGAACCTCATTTTGTAACCATTCTTGGGTGGCGCGTGCTGAGTGCGATGGTGATGCCTCCAGTTGGAATGTCCTAGATCTGCGGCCAAAATTTTTGCGTGCCCAAGGCTTTAATACACCCTCCAGAATATTTTTGCGATAATATTCGGCATTTATTCTGATCTAACCATCGGCTATATGGCGGGCCACACCATCACAATGGCCGACGCTTGAGTTCTGGTGGCCAACCGAAGGTGCACATTTTCAGCTGACCCCTTTGGCAAGTAAACACGATCATTTTGTTTGTTTACAAACTACTGGACAACGAGTGTTTTCTCATCGGAGAAAACCAAATTCAATACTTCACCACTCGTTCACTCGGCCAAGCGAAGCAACTCGTTAGCTCTTTTGAGTCAATTTTTTTTTTCTGTTCCAGTGTAAGTTCTTGCACGAAAAACTTTTTTCCTGGAAAATTCTCACCAAAATGTTTTTGTACGCTTGTAAACAATAAAATGAGCTGTCACTGGAATAATTTCAACAACTGTCGGACGAGATGTTTAGAAACGATAGTGATAAGGATTTTGAAAATATTGACATTTTTGCAGTGTTTGTTTATTTCTATGTAGACACAAATGCCAATTCTGTGGACGAAAAAGATAGAACGATAAAATTTGTCATGAGGTATGCGATAGGTAGGCGGAATACGGTGGGGCTATCGCTACATCGCGCATTAGTAATACAAAGTAATAACATTTTGATCGATAAGAACTTGAGTGAATTCGGGAATCCATATTTATAAAATTTGCCATGAAGGTTTTTCTTTTGTATGTAAAGTATCTCCGTCTCTCTGTCCGTCTGTCTGTCTGTTGAAATCACGATACAGCCCACATTATTTGATATAAAACCTAAACATTCGGCAGAACAATTTGTATTGTGTCTATGAGGGTTGGTATTGAAAATTGTACCTACCGATATTCGGTATTTTTAAGATTTGTGCCTCCACCATCTGGTACAAAATTGGCAATTTTCAAAATATTAAAATCCGTATAAAATTCTGTTAAAATCTTAAAAATTCCGAATGTTGCCGTATATTAGGGTCTATACGACGACGTGGAACTGCATAAGCAACTTTTGTCATAAGCCTGCACAGTGTAATGTCCAATCTCGACTCTCATTGATACTTTGTAAGGATATTCAATCCTTGGCTTGAGTCTTATCAAATGAACAGAAAGGATATTTAGTAGTAAGGTATTGATAACTAGTTCGAAAACAATCAGACTGGGAGCCTTTAATTCGCTAGCTAACAGTCGTGTATGGGGGGGGGGGGGGGGGGTTCGTGTCTGTTATTGATCTCAAACAATATCCTTCGGACATAAACAAAAAAATATTTTATTGTAGACTCCCGAGATATAACAAAAAAAATTTAAATTTGGATGCACTGGTTTTCTGGCCAACTATTGTACCCCGGTTGGTCCAGATCATAAAGGAAAGCGGTCGGAAAATCAATCTAGATACTTGTATAAAGAAACTCCTGATGTTTCTTGGAGTTTGTGCCTCTTAACCCTTCCATGGTCTCAATGGCATAATGTTTTGTTGGGACCCCTAATGCGATTTCCTCCCTTCAAACTACCTCACCACAGTAAGAAAACTGATTATGGTTTAGAGATTCATCTTGTTATTACAAGGTGTATTTAGATATAAGCCATTAAAGGATTCTAGAAAATTAAATAATTCAAGAAAATATAATATATATATAACAGAAGTGGTTATACATTTTGAAATTCATTTGCTTTAAATGTAATGATTTAAAACTAATTTCTTTAAAGCTATTTTTGTATTATGATTTATAAATATGTACTAGATTAAAGACAACTTGTCTTTAAACGAATCAGATGGATGAAAAATGTATATCTAGGATATTTCATAAATCATAAATATATTCTATAATTTTTTTGTAATAGATATATAAATGTTAAGGAAATGTATTCAGCTATTAAATTCGTTAATTTAATATGCATAAAAAAACTAAAACTGGATAAGAAAAAAATGTTTCCTAACGTTAACTAATTTTGTGGATGTATTCGAGAGAGATACATATATTGTGATACCAAAATTACAAAAAAAAAACGAAATTTTAAGGTCCTTTTGGGACAAAAAAAAATGGTCTAAAGGACAATATAGAAATTTTAAGTTTTCGGAAATATTTGATCCTTTCAAATACATCATTCAAATATTTCAAATATTGATTATAATTTACTTACTTACATCGAATTTCTTATTTTTTTGAGTTTTTCTCTTGTTTTTGTGTTTTCTTAAAGATCTGGACAGCTACATACATTACATTGGTGTGATCGACGAGGCCTCGTAGAACATCTTTGTATGTGTTGTTGTGTGAAGGAAGGATAATGCTTATTTTCTCTGTAGGATTAGAAGTAGTAATAGTTAATCATTTGAAATGTATTGCATATGTTCAGGAGAAATTCATAGAAATTATGATATAATAATTTAAAAGAACTTATCTGACTTGATTTCACAAATTTTATAAATACAAATTGTAATACTGCCGGAGGTGGGATTCGAACCCACGTTACTGGTTTCTAGACGGCGAACAAAGCCAGCTTCCTACGCCCTGGGCTACCGCCGGTGTTTGGACACGGTGTTTTATAAATAGGTTTTGTGTATTTACAGCCACGACCTTGGTTCAATCATCGGAACACTCCGTCACTCGGTTGAGAAGTTATTTTAAGAAATCGGATTTGTCTATGTGAGGTCGTAAAGCTTGGCTGAAGGCATGTAGCCTTACACAATGGCCGGTTTTACACAATTTCCAACTGTTGATAGATTTCCAAGGAAAAAACGGTTTTGCCGTCGGTAGTAATTAAGATAGTAGAAAAAATTGTCCAAAGCAAAAAAGGTGAAAATGATGTTCCAACTGGCGGTAAATCTTGTTAACTGGATAAGGACAATTGTGGAAAATCTATAAAAATAAAATAACTGGTCTAACACCAAACTTGCATAGCATTTGTACGCCACTGCTTACCTTGTTTTTAATTTATTACTCTTTTGGTTTAGTGAAGTCGATGGACTTCGAAAAAAAAATCAGAGGTCTTTTTTTTTTGGAGAAACCTTTTAAATAACTTTTTGTTAGTTTTTTCAATCCTGCTTATTTGTAGCGCTTAAAAAATACCTTGAAATACAGTTTAGTTGTGTTTTCCAAGCAAATTGTGGAACCAATTTTACATAAAGTTTCCGGATTTCTTTGATATTTACGGATTTATATGCACTTTTTGTTAAGTTTAAAACAAGCAAAAATGAGTTGGTTTTTTTTTTCTCTTCGCTTAATTGTTGTTCACACTATCAGAACGAGGAAGCAAAAGAATGATTGTCGATTTGTTACAACTGAGGAGAGTGCCAAATTCGTGGTATTTGATTTTCACCACCAACATGCAATATTACGGCGAATTTAATTGACAATACACACGTAATTTATACTTTAGACGGACCGTTAGTTACTACTACATAGCTCGGAATTAATAGCTCCGCCTCTTATCCAAAACCGTAATATCGTAAAAAAAAAAATATTTAGTTTTACAAAATAAAAATAGTTTGTTCTAACCGGGAATTGATCACAGGTCCTTACGCCCCGGAGTCCAGCACGCTTCCTCTGCGCTAACACTGCATGTGTGGCCGGATTGACACAATACTGGGATTAGCAGATTGGTTACATTTCCTGTTACATTTTCCATTAAGAGATAACAAAATAGTGATGCAAAATATAACGCAAAAAAATGTAGGGCAAATGAGCAGTAGTATCCCAGCACACAATTTTAATACCATTGGCTAGGTGAGTTATTGTCGGAGCGTAGTTTCTCACAAAACCGAGTAATATCGATCTTTGAATTACGATATTAATCGGAATCAGAATAATTATGACCTTATGTCTTTGGCGTGGTAAGTCCCGATAAGATTACCATTTAAGTCCTCCAATTCGTAATAAACGTTTCCAATTTTTTTTCCGGACTTTGGCTGGTAGAAAAATGGGAGCAAGTTTAGCGTTAAATTTCTTTTCCGCATTGCTTTGTGCAAAATTGCGTCTGAAAACAGTTTGGCCAACAGTATAACTTATGGATCTAGTGCGTAAATTGTAATGGTCTTTATTATTTTCATGTGCGGCCGAAATACTACTTCGAAGGTCCTTCCGAAGAAGTTGAAGCTGATCTTCTTTAGAAAGATTTAGCTGGGGTTCATCAAGTAATTGCAGGTTTTTCAAGAGAGCGTAGGTATCTCCATGGGTGACCATGTTAAATCCAAATGTGGCAAAATATGGGGAACATTTAAGGGTTTGGTGGAGAGAATTCCTTAAGGAACAACTAATATACGACAAGTATTCATCCCATAGACGTTGATCTTTCTTCAGATATGCCCGAATACTTGCAATAATGGACCGGTTGACGCGTTCAGATGCGTTAGCCTGCGGCGAATAAAGAGCTGTGTAAATGTGTTGCACTCCGAACTTTGTTAAAAAGGAATTGAATTCGTAAGATTTAAATTGGGTACCATTATCACTGACAATTTGTTCCGGTACAGCAAATGCATGGAAAATATTTTTCAGTAAGAATTCTTGAATAGGAATTGAAGTTAATTTCTTAAGAGGACATAACCAGTGGTATTTTGTCAACTGATCAAGGACAATAAATAGGCCTATGTGTCCATTTTTTGAGCGCGGATAAGGTCCTAAGATATCTACATATAACCTTTGAAAAGGTCTAGTTGTTTGGACCAGCTTCCCCATTTCGGGTTTCAAAATGTAATTAGGGTGTTTGGAAATTTTACACGTTTCTCAAGTTCGGATGTATTCACGGACATCGGTCACCATGCCAGGCCAGAAAAAGTGACGTCGAATAAGGTCCAGGGTTTTTGCCATACCACCGCTACAGGACTGTTATGGAACCTTTCTATCAAGGAGTGTCTCATTTTTTCAGGAATCCACAATTTCCAAGCATTATTTGTTTGGGCTGGATCACCAGTATAGTGATCTGTTCTGATATATACAAATTTGTCTATTAATTTAATATCGGGATATTTTGAGGAGTTATTCGTAATTTTATTTCTCAATATTTGATAGTCGTTGTCATTGAAGAATGGGGAATCTAATTCTATTTCGGGTTCTATTTCGTCTATGGCTGAAATCTCATCAACAGGTATCCTAGACAGGACATCGGGCACTACATGATCCCGTCCCTTTCTGTGGCTAATTGTGAATTTATAAGGCTGCAATTTGAAAACCCATCTGGCTAATCTACCTGTTAAGTCAGGTTGTTTCATCAGCCATAAAAGTGATGAGTGATCAGTCACGACCTCAAATTCTTGTAATTCAAGGTAGCACCTGAATTTTTTAATGGCCTCAATTGCCGCTAGACACTCCCTCTCTGTCACACTATAATTTCTTTGAGCGGTGTTTAGTTTTTTAGACATGAACGCAATTGGACGTTCGCTGCCATCATCGTCAATCTGTACCAGTACTGCCCCAATGCCATAGTCTGAAGCGTCACAATGCAAGTAGAATTTTCGCGTGAAGTCAGGGTTTGACAAAACAGGTGCAGTGGTTAATAGGTTTTTGATGGTCTGAAAGGAATTCTGAGCTTCAGGAGTCCAATGGAATTTCTTTTTTGATGACAAAGTTTCAGTGATGGGAAATGTGATAGAGGAAAAGTTCTCAATAAACCTCCTATACCAGCTGGCTAGGCCTAAAAATCCTCTGACCTGCTTTACATTTTTGGGTACAGGCCAGTTGGCAATCGAATCTACCTTTTCAGGGTCCGTTTGAATACCCCCATCCCCTATAACATAACCCAAATATTTTGTTCTGGTTACACAAAATTGTGACTTTTCAATATTTAGGGTTAGATTGGCTTTTCGAAATTCTTGGGACAGACGAACTAATATGGCTAAATGACTGTTAAAGTCTTCAGAAACAATAACGATGTCATCTAGATATCCGAATACACAAAATCTAAGGTCTGGCGGAATAATCATGTCTACAAGCCGGCACATTGTCTGAGGGGCTGTGCAGAGCCCGAAAGGCATCACTACAAACTGATACAGTGGCCTTCCGGGCACTGTGAAAGCTGTAAGTGCCTTGGACTCCTCTGACAGGCCAATCTGCCAGTAGGCATCTTTTAAGTCCAGTTTGGTTATAATATTTGCCTTAGGCAACCTCGCAAATATACCCTCAATACTGGGAAGCGGATACGCATCCTTCCTGGTGACTTGATTCAATTTTCTCGCATCTAAACATAAGCGAATTTTATTGGGCTTTACGACTAGTCGCATAGGTGACGACCATGCAGATTTAGAAGGCTCTATGATTCCAAGCGACAATATACGGTCGATCTCCTGATACATTAAATGCTCTACAGCCGGAGAAACCGGATAAAATCGCTGTTTAACGGGCTTGGCGTCACCTATGTCGATATTATGTTGCAAATAAGAGGTTCTACCTAGACCTTGCTGGGTAAAACTTGGAAAAAGTTCTATGATTGTTTTCAATTGCACCTGTTGATTGGAGTTTAAAGGATATTTAACATCGGAATTTGGAATTAATTCAGATTTGGAGTAAGAGGACTCTAGAGTATTATCGAACAAGACGCCCGTAGATTCTACAGATAAGACATCAGGCAGTTGGCAAGGCCTATCCGACGGATTGCTAGTAATAGAATTATCAAATACGTCAGGGGCCAATGCGAAGGATTTCCAAAAATCTAGACCAAGTATCAGGCGTTGTGTTATGGAGGGCACTATTAATAATTTCAATTTGTGAAATTCTCCACGAAAATGCATATCAACACTCAAATATCCTAGTGTTTTTTGAATGGATCCATCTGCAGTCCTGACCGCTGTTTTTCCTGGGATATATTGGGGATAACTTGAAAAGTCCTGTGAGGCTAAATCAGATCCTATGCAGGAGATATTAGCACCCGTATCTAATAGACCATATTCAGTAAAATTAAGGAATTTCACTTTGGCATACAACCTTTTATCGGACGGAGAATTGACTATAGTAGAAATGACGTATTTTAAGGATTGTTTTCTTCGTCGAAAATAAAGTCGAAGCCGACAAGTGGACCTTTTTGGACGCTTAGATTTTGTGGTTAAAGGTTTTGATACAGAAAAAATTTGGTTGCGTTTCTCAAGATAGGTTTGATATCTTTCATGATATGGACGAATTGGGTAGAGATATTTATGAACAGTTTTTTCTTGATTTATATCTGGTTTAAGTATAGTGATATTAGCTATGGGGTATTTACTTGGAGAGGGTTCAGGTGCGACTTGAACTTTTATGGAATATTGCTGTTCTGGTTTAGTCGTAAGGAGTTTTTTGACTGCATAGAGACTTTTCTCTTAGCACATTTCACACATTGTGGTTTGTATATATTTTTAGAACCACATCCATAGCAAAATACTTTTCGATCCTTGAGACAATCGTCCCAACAATGACCGATTTCATCGCAGTTCCAACATTTCAAAACATATGGCTCTTTATTGAGGGCATCTATACAAACATCCTTATTTGGTTCGTCAGAAACTATTCCGTCCGATTGTAGTTCGGCAATATTTCTTTGAGCTTTTGAGGTTGTATTAGAAAATTGATATTTCTGGCTTGAATTTTTTCTATAGTAATCCTCATTCATTAAGTTTTCTCTCATTTGTACCAGTTTCCTGAGATGAGGAATTGTTAAAATTGGGACATACAGAAGTTCGTGACGAATATCTGGCCTCAGATTTCGTACAAGAATTTCTACTAATTCCTCTTCGGGAATTGGCTGTCGAAGTTTGTCAGCTATTAAACATATAGCATCATAAAATGAATCAAAAGATTCGCCTGGTCGCATCTTTCTTCCTCGAATAGCTTCCATAAGATCAAAATTGGATCTAAGATCTTTAAACTGACAGCGTAAAGCGCCACAGAATTCATTCCATTGAATGGAATCCACATTTTTGTGGTACCTCCAGTACCATTCTTTAGCTTTGCCTGTTAAAATTATGGGTAAATTCTTACAAATATAAGTAAAGTTGTCATTCAAATGTTCTTTAGTTAGAGTCTTGATCCGATAAAGAAATTCATCAACAGATAGCCCACTGCTGGAACCATCAAATTGTAAATTCCAGTTCTGGATAATGAAAGTTACCCTATCTGGCCGTAAAATCTGTGAATTTGGTTCAGAACTAGAAGGTTTAGAAATATTGAGGGGATTCTCATTATCAAAGTTCGGTTGCTGGTTTAAATTCACACGAGAATTGTCATTCCTTGAATTAAGGTTTCTTGGAACAGAGGAAGTATTGGTTTGAAACTGAGTTCCAATGTTAAAATTTTGAAGAATTTTAATTATATTTTTTTCAATAATTTGATTGAGTTGAGAATAATCAATTTCATTGGATTTATTTGTGTTGGGATCTCGAATGTGAGCATTTTGTATTGGTTGGTTTTGCTCCGCATTTGAGAAATTCATAATATTATTGTTGTTGTCATTGGAAAATATCTGAGAAGTAGAATCTTCTATTAGTTCGTTCATATTATCCAAGTTATTGCTAGCATTGAGGTTTTCTGAGAGTAATGTCCGACTCAAATTTCTCGTCATTGGGGATTAGTCGCCGTACCACGACCTTTCCCACGATAAGCTGGGCGAGATTTTTTTATGGTTCCTGTCTGGGTTGACATCTCATTGGATTCAACACAATTAATAGGATACTTTCTCAGATTTGATAGTTCAAATGTCTCCTTACACAAAGGACACTGTGAAGAATTAGCTAAAGCTAGTTCTATGCAAGAACGATGGAAAATATGTTGACAAATGTCAATAATACAACACTCTTGAATTTGCGAATTTATCGCGCCTTGGCAATAATGACAGTTCAAATTCTCATCAACTGAGGTTCCACACTCCAAATTAGGATTCGGCATAGGACTTCTGAGTATCGACATTTTAAAGTTTAAAAATAATAAAAAAACAGAAATGAAAATATATTTTCTTTACGAAAATAGATTAAAAATTCAAAACAAAAATAATATATAACCACACGTTTCTTACTTTTGTGGTGAGGCAATAGTGAGGAAAATACTGCTGGGTATCTAAGAATTGATTAAGAAATAATATCAAACTGGGCTATGGAGTAATTATAGGATTATAGACTGCTAACTATAAGACAAACCATCATTCTACAGATCCTCGAACTGATATTTTCGGACTTGGATTCGCCCCAGCAAAACCAAAGTGTATCCAGAATAAAATCAGGATGATGATAACTAAGTCTTGTAGAAAGGAAAATCTATAAGCCGGTAATTTACTTGAAGTACTTTTAACAAAACTACTTTGACCTCATTTATACAGGTACAGAAAAGATTGAAAAAGGGACATCCCGGTCAGAAATTTCCGAAACCATCAGAAAACTGATAATCCTGAGAGCCTTTAACAATTATTCCGTACTCTGGCCATGACGGAAAAGAAATTTTAATAAAAATATTTGTTAAGGAAAGTTAGGACGGAGGATGTATGGGACAATTCGCTCTTTAAGGATAATGCAAACACATTTTTATATGAACTTGAATTCTTATTAAAGAATGCTATTTCGCTATAACAAAGGATAATAAATTCCTTAAAGGATTCGATTTTTTTCGCCCCACGTTGGGCGCCATTCTATTTATGCAATGTCCAATCTCGACTCTCATTGATACTTTGTAAGGATATTCAATCCTTGGCTTGAGTCTTATCAAATGAACAGAAAGGATATTTAGTAGTAAGGTATTGATAACTAGTTCGAAAACAATCAGACTGGGAGCCTTTAATTCGCTAGCTAACAGTCGTGTATGGGGGGGTTCGTGTCTGTTATTGATCTCAAACAATATCCTTCGGACATAAACAAAAAAATATTTTATTGTAAACTCCCGAGATATAACAAAAAAAAAAAAAAAAAAAATTAAATTTGGATGCACTGGTTTTCTGGCCAACTATTGTACCCCGGTTGGTCCAGATCATAAAGGAAAGCGGTCGGAAAATCAATCTAGATACTTGTATAAAGAAACTCCTGATGTTTCTTGGAGTTTGTGCCTCTTAACCCTTCCATGGTCTCAATGGCATAATGTTTTGTTGGGACCCCTAATGCAATTTCCTCCCTTCAAACTACCTCACCACAGTAAGAAAACTGATTATGGTTTAGAGATTCATCTTGTTATTACAAGGAGTATTTAGATATAAGCCATTAAAGGGATTCTAGAAAATTAAATAATTCAAGAAAATATAAATATATATAACAGAAGTGATTATACCTTTTGAAATTCATTTGCTTTAAATGTAATGATTTAAAACTAATTTCTTTAAAGCTATTTTTGTATTATGATTTATAAATATGTACTAGATTAAAGACAACTTGTCTTTAAACGAATCAGATGGATGAAAATGTATATCTAGGATATTTCATAAATCATAAATATATTCCATAATTTTTTTTTTTGTAATAGATATATAAATGTTAAGGAAATGTATTCAGCTATTAAATTCGTTAATTTAATATGCATAAAAAAACTAAAACTGGATAAGAAAAAAAATGTTTCCTAACCTTAACTAATTTTGTGGATGTATTCGAGAGAGATACATATATTGTGATACCAAAATTACAAAAAAAAAAAACAAAATTTTAAGGTCCTTTTGGGACAAAAAAAATGGTCTAAAGGACAATATAGAAATTATAAGTTTTGGGAAATATTTGATCCTTCGAATACATCCTTTTTTAAGGACCCATATGCAAATATTTCAAATATTGATTATAATTTACTTACTTACATCGAATTTCTTATTTTTTGAGTTTTTCTCTTGTTTTTGTGTTTTCTTAAAGATCTGGACAGCTACATACATTACATTGGTGTGATCGACGAGGCCTCGTAGAACTTATGCTTATTTTCTCTGTAGGATTAGAAGTAGTAATAGTTAATCATTTGAAATGTATTGCATATGTTCAGGAGAACATGATCCCGTCCCTTTCTGTGGCTAATTGTGAATTTATAAGGCTGCAATTTGAAAACCCATCTGGCTAATCTACCTGTTAAGTCAGGTTGTTTCATCAGCCATAAAAGTGATGAGTGATCAGTCACGACCTCAAATTCTTGTAATTCAAGGTAGCACCTGAATTTTTTAATGGCCTCAATTGCCGCTAGACACTCCTTCTCTGTCACACTATAATTTCTTTGAGCGGTGTTTAGTTTTTTAGACATGAACGCAATTGGACGTTCGTTGCCATCATCGTCAATCTGTACCAGTACTGCCCCAATGCCATAGTCTGAAGTGTCACAATGCAAGTAGAATTTTCGCGTGAAGTCAGGGTTTGACAAAACAGGTGCAGTGGTTAATAGGTTTTTGATGGTCTGAAAGGAATTGTGAGCTTCAGGAGTCCAATGGAATTTCTTTTTTGATGACAAAGTTTCAGTGATGGGAAATGTGATAGAGGAAAAGTTCTCAATAAACCTCCTATACCAGCTGGCTAGGCCTAAAAATCCTCTGATCTGCTTTACATTTTTGGGTACAGGCCAGTTGGCAATCGAATCTACCTTTTCAGGGTCCGTTTGAATACCCCCATCCCCTATAACATAACCCAAATATTTTGTTCTGGTTACACAAAATTGTGACTTTTCAATATTTAGGGTTAGATTGGCTTTTCGAAATTCTTGGGACAGACGAACTAATATGGCTAAATGACTGTTAAAGTCTTCAGAAACAATAACGATGTCATCTACATATCCGAATACACAAAATCTAAGGTCTGGCGGAATAATCATGTCTACAAGCCGGCACATTGTCTGAGGGGCTGTGCAGAGCCCGAAAGGCATCACTACAAACTGATACAGTGGCCTTCCGGGCACTGTGAAAGCTGTAAGTGCCTTGGACTCCTCTGACAGGCCAATCTGCCAGTAGGCATCTTTTAAGTCCAGTTTGGTTATAATATTTGCCTTAGGCAACCTCGCAAATATACCCTCAATACTGGGAAGCGGATACGCATCCTTCCTGGTGACTTGATTCAATTTTCTCGCATCTAAACATAAGCGAATTTTATTGGGCTTTACGACTAGTCGCATAGGTGACGACCATGCAGATTTAGAAGGCTCTATGACTCCAAGCGACAATATACGGTCGATCTCCTGATACATTAAATGCTCTACAGCCGGAGAAACCGGATAAAATCGCTGTTTAACGGGCTTGGCGTCACCTATGTCGATATTATGTTGCAAATAAGAGGTTCTACCTAGACCTTGCTGGGTAAAACTTGGAAAAAGTTCTATGATTGTTTTCAATTGCACCTGTTGATTGGAGTTTAAAGGATATTTAACATCGGAATTTGGAATTAATTCAGATTTGGAGTAAGAGGACTCTAGAGTATTATCGAACAAGACGCCCGTAGATTCTACAGATAAGACATCAGGCAGTTGGCAAGGCCTATCCGACGGATTGCTAGTAATAGAATTATCAAATACGTCAGGGGCCAATGCGAAGGATTTCCAAAAATCTAGACCAAGTATCAGGCGTTGTGTTATGGAGGGCACTATTAATAATTTCAATTTGTGAAATTCTCCACGAAAATGCATATCAACACTCAAATATCCTAGTGTTTTTTGAATGGATCCATCTGCAGTCCTGACCGCTGTTTTTCCTGGGATATATTGGGGATAACTTGAAAAGTCCTGTGAGGCTAAATCAGATCCTATGCAGGAGATATTAGCACCCGTATCTAATAGACCATATTCAGTAAAATTAAGGAATTTCACTTTGGCATACAACCTTTTATCGGACGGAGAATTGACTATAGTAGAAATGACGTATTTTAAGGATTGTTTTCTTCGTCGAAAATAAAGTCGAAGCCGACAAGTGGACCTTTTTGGACGCTTAGATTTTGTGGTTAAAGGTTTTGATACAGAAAAAATTTGGTTGCGTTTCTCAAGATAGGTTTGATATCTTTCATGATATGGACGAATTGGGTAGAGATATTTATGAACAGTTTTTTCTTGATTTATATCTGGTTTAAGTATAGTGATATTAGCTATGGGGTATTTACTTGGAGAGGGTTCAGGTGCGACTTGAACTTTTAAGGAATATTGCTGTTCTGGTTTAGTCGTAAGGAGTTTTTTGACTGCATAGAGACTTTTCTCTTAGCACATTTCACACATTGTGGTTTGTATATATTTTTAGAACCACATCCATAGCAAAATACTTTTCGATCCTTGAGACAATCGTCCCAACAATGACCGATTTCATCGCAGTTCCAACATTTCAAAACATATGGCTCTTTATTGAGGGCATCTATACAAACATCCTTATTTGGTTCGTCAGAAACTATTCCGTCCGATTGTAGTTCGGCAATATTTCTTTGAGCTTTTGAGGTTGTATTAGAAAATTGATATTTGTGGCTTGAATTTTTTCTATAGTAATCCTCATTCATTAAGTTTTCTCTCATTTGTACCAGTTTCCTGAGATGAGGAATTGTTAAAATTGGGACATCAGTCTTGCTCGAACGTTTGATCGGTTGCATATTTGAAAACGTTAAGCTAATTAAGGTGATTCTGTTTAAATCATTAAATACCCTTAAAGTTAATAAAAGTAGACGATCGAAAACAATAATAATATAAGTTTTTTAATAGTTCTGAAGTATTTCCAAGAAAAAATCTATAATAATTTCTGTTAAATAAACAAAAAAAAAACTTATTTCTACGATATAACTGTAACACAGAAAAAATGTTTTGTGAAGCAAATGGAGACGAGTCTCCAATATCATTTAGTAAGGAGAGAGAACTTAAAAACAAAACCCCAGGTTCAAAGTTTCTTGTCATGAAGAGAAAATTTGGTGGAGACTTACAGAAAGTCTCTCCATTTCTACTAAAAAAGGTGATTGATTCAACGTGCGGCGGAGAAGTGGAATTATGTAAGAAAACTAGGAGTGGATTTGTATTAATTAAAACCAAAAATGTTGATCAAGCCAAAAAATTGGTCCAATTAACCAAAATTTCACAAACGATTGTCGTAGATGTTACCGAACATAACTTCCTAAATAACTCCAAAGGAGTTATTTTCACAAAAGAAATAATTGGAGTACCAGAAGAAGAAATATTAAATGAATTAAAAATCTTTAACGTCATTGAAGTTAGAAAAATTCAAAGAAGGGCGAACGAAGAAATGATTGGTCATCCCACTAAATTCTGCCGAGACACCAAAAAATGCGTAAACTGTGGTTATACACACCACATTGACATCGAAAAAAACGAAAAATGTACTCTAACAACAATTTGCACAAACTGTAAAATTTACAAATTGGATGACACCCTTCATAACTCACTCGATAAGAAGTGCCCTATTTACATAAGAGAAAAAGAGATACAAGCTATAAAAACCATTCAAAAAGTAGATTTAAAAACAGCCCGTCAAATACTTAATCAAAGAACATGCCATTCCTCAAAATTACCTTCACAAAGTACAACAACAAATTACAACTCGTTCAACACTTTTGCTCAAATTATTCAACAAAAAGAAGATGTAAACAATAACACTTCCCTCCACGATTCCCCTCCCCTTACTCAAATTCCAATCATAGAAAGAGAAATAGCTGATAACTGTAACTCAAATTCCTCACCAGACACGTCACAACAAATGTCTCCACAAAACACCAGTTTGGATCAAGCATACGAAAACCATTATACTTTACAATCAGCGGATGAGAATAATTCTCTTATGCACTCATCCTCCCTCAACAACCAACAAGAGAAAGATGTATGCTCAGATTACTCTTTAATGGATGATGGTAATATTCCGTGCAAGAAAACAAGTTCTCTTAATTTAAAATCTAATAAAAATGTTAAAATTTTACCTAGAAAAATTTCTAATCGTTTAAAACGTCAATTAAAAAGTAAAAAGAAGAATATTGATATAACAAATAATAATGATGTAAATATTGTAGATGATGATTTTTAAATATTTGTATATAATTTTCTTTCAGAGCAATCTTAATATTTAGTTCTCTTTACCCTTTTATAATATTTCTCTTTCTTTTATAATTATGTCTTTAAAAATAATCCAATGGAACATTAAGGGATACATAAATAATTACAATGAATTGCTCTTATTAATCAAAGATCATACTCCGCATATAATAGCATTGCAAGAGACCCATTTATGTTCGATTCAACATATTCCAATTCCTATTAATTACAACATCTACAATGTGAATAACACTGAAAACTCATACGGTGGTTCAGCCCTGTTAATTCATAAAACAATTCAACATAGTGTAAACATGAATGGGAACGAATTTGATATTATTTCGGCAAACATTTCATCAAAAATTAATTTTACAATTGTATCAACCTATATATCCCCAAGTGTAAAATTCAGTTTAGATCAGTTAGTAAAAACCGTTGAAAACATTACCACTCCAATGTTATTTTTGTAGGCGACTTTAATAGTTGGCATAAGCAGTGGGGTTCAATATACAGCAATGGTAGAGGTAAAACGCTTGCAAAATTTTTTAATCAATCTAATTTAATTCTTCTAAATGACGGCTCCCCCACTCATTTTTCAACACATAATTCTTTCTCACACATTGATTTATCATTTGCATCTCCTGAACTAGCCATTGGCTCTCATTGGAAGGTATTTGAAGACCTCCATGGTAGTGACCATTTCCCTGTATATATAACTTTATTTCCTAAAAACTCATTTGGTAGCGTTAAATTACCCCCAAAATTTGACATTAAAAAAGCAGATTGGACCAAATTCAGAGATCGCCTCATACATTACAGCAGTACTCGACCTATCAGTAAAGATGTCAATAAAGAATCAGCAAATTTGAGAAAAATCGTACATCAAGCTGCGAATGAATCTATTCCCTTGATAACAAACCGAAAACAAAAGACTGTTCCCTGGTGGAATAGAAAATTAGAGACTCTGAAAAAGGAACGAAATAAAAAATGGAACAGTTTCAATCGTAACATGACAACAGAAAATTTAATTGAGTTTAAGAGATCAAATGCAATATTTAAAAGAGAGATAAAACTATCAAAACAGTCTAGCATAAATAAATTCACAGCTGAAATAAATCCCTTAACTCCAGTTTCAAAAATATGGAGCAATATAAGACGATTTAATGGATTAAATAATAATCACGATGTACACTGTATAAGAAAATGTGACACTGATTTTAGAATAGTGCAAAAGGATGACATTGCAAATGCTTTCGCCGAATATTGGTCTAAAGATTCTAAAGATGATAATTTTTCTACAGAATTCAGACAAAGTAAAGCTAGAACTAATCCTACTTCCAACTATATTCCTTCTAATTCGGCTATAAGTATAGAGGAACCCATTTCATTGTTTGAACTTAATTCTGTCTTAAATTCGCTTAAGGGTAAAACACCTGGAGAAGATCGCATTAACTACGAAATGATTTCAAAGATGCCAAACGAAATTAAGAATCGACTCTTAATCCTATTCAATAATATTTTTAGAAATAATATTCCGCAGTCCTATAAAATAAGTGTTGTTGTACCTATCCCAAAACCTCAAACCGATAAAACATTATTGAAATCTTACCGACCAATTTCTCTCAACTGCTGTTTCTCTAAGATCTTAGATAAAATCATTGCGAATAGACTCAGGTGGTTTACAGAGACAAATAAAATTCTTTGTAGTCAACAAATTGGATTTATGCCGGGAAGATCTGTTATAGATAATCTTCTTTATGTAGATAACCTAATAACAGATTCCATATCAAAGAGGAATCATATATCACTAATTTCACTGGACTTTTCTAAAGCTTATGACAAAATAGGCGTACATGCCATTATTGATCAATTAAAATCATGGAAACTAGGTCCCTCTATAATTTCATATGTTTTTAATTTTATGAAAAATAGACAAATAAAGGTTATAGTTAATAACAATGTTTCAAAATTATTTCCTCTTTATAATGGAATCCCACAAGGATCACCATTTTCAGTTTTATTATTCCTTATTTCATACAACAAACTATGTAATGTTCTATATAATTTCAAAGACATAAAGTTTTGTGCATATGCAGATGATTTCATTATTCTAAAACAGTTTCCTCGGAATGCTCACGAATGGGATTTAAGCCCAATTATCCGCAATATAAATCAATGGTCTCACTATTCAGGTGCATCGTTATCGGTAACTAAGTGCAAACATCTGCACATTAGTCGAAAAAAGGATTGTAAAATGTCAATTAATATAGGTGAATGTGCAATACCAACAGCAGAATCGATGAAAATTCTTGGAGTTTATTTCAACTCAAGATATACGTGGACTTCCCATATTGAATACCTCTTGACATCATTACCCAAACGACTTGATATTATAAAATGTTTAAGCTGTAATAAATTTAAATCCAATATTTGTACCATACTCTCAGTAATTAGATCCTTAATAATCGGTAAAATTGAATACGGAATATACATATACGGGTTTTCTTCAAAACAAAACTTAAATAAAATTAAAACTTTGTATAATAGCGCAATCAGAATCGCATTAAAAGCTTTTCGTACAACTCCCATTAATAATATGCTTTTCGAAACAAAATCTCCCACTTTAGAAGATATCCGAGACAATGCTATTAAACGTCTCTACAAAAATATAATATTCAGCGGGGAAACCCCTAACTCTAACTCCATCAAAAAGTGCCTTAAAAGAAAAAGAGAAAATAGAATAATATCTACAAACAAAAGAATAATTGATTTTAGCAGAAAAAACGACTTACCTTTAAAGTTTATAAAATTACCAAGCTCCAACAATTATTTAAAATACTTAAATGAATCCATAATAGATGAACTTAGCCTGTGTAACAAAATATCAACCCCTAAAGAAATGTTCATTCAAGCTTTTCGAGAAATTAAAAACAGATTTAAAAACTTTAAATTCATCTATACTGATGGATCGAAAAAGGACGATATTACTGCTTTTGCTATAACTACAGATAATACTGTTTTATACAATGCTTTTTTGCCACATCATTTCTCGTCAGTTTTTTCTGCCGAAATAATTGCAATTTATTATGCTATTGATTATGTCAAAAAGAAAAAAGAAGAATATATCATTTGTACAGACTCGTTAGCTTCATTGAAAGCCATAAAGAATAAAAACAATAATGACTATTACCCTAAACACATCAGAAGTAGTCTTATAAATTATGCCCCTTTAATAAAGATTATGTGGATACCTAGTCATTGCGGTATCAACGGTAATGAATTTGCTGACCAAACGGCAAAAAATGCTCTAAATTCACCTTTAACAACTGTTGACAATTTTAATTTTAGAGATGTTAAAAAACTCTTAAAAATAGATATGAATACAACTTTATTACAAGGATTTACAAAAACATCTGAATATTATAAAAGGTAAATGAGGGAAAAAATACAATATTTGACTACCTAAAATATAATAATTTTCAAAACTTAGATAAAGTCGATATTACCAAACTGATTCGGCTCAGATTAGGTCATACAAGAATTACTCACGGACATTATATGGACAAGACAATTCCACCAACGTGTTCATTTTGCAATATCGAATATGTTTCGATCGAACATTTATTGGATAATTGCTCATTTTTTGAGACTGTTCGAAGGACTATTTTTAAAAATATTGCACCAACATCTACTTTGAGTTTCCTTCAGGATAAACATGTTTCGGATTTGATAAACTTCCTTAAAACAACAAATCTGATTAAGATGTTTTAACAATGTAATTAACTTTATACCCATTAATGTTCCATTTGACTTAAGACCTTAGATGTCAGGCCATATCCTTTTCTGTATATTTAGCTTGTAATTTTTTTAGTTATAAGTTAAATTTGTAATAAATAAATAAATAAATAAATAAATAAATAAAATTGGGACATACAGAAGTTCGTGACGAATATCTGGCCTCAGATTTCGTACAAGAATTTCTACTAATTCCTCTTCGGGAATTGGCTGTCGAAGTTTGTCAGCTATTAAACATATAGCATCATAAAATGAATCAAAAGATTCGCCTGGTCGCATCTTTCTTCCTCGAATAGCTTCCATAAGATCAAAATTGGATCTAAGATCTTTAAACTGACAGCGTAAAGCGCCACAGAATTCATTCCATTGAATGGAATCCACATTTTTGTGGTACCTCCAGTACCATTCTTTAGCTTTGCCTGTTAAAATTATGGGTAAATTCTTACAAATATAAGTAAAGTTGTCATTCAAATGTTCTTTAGTTAGAGTCTTGATCCGATAAAGAAATTCATCAACAGATAGCCCACTGCTGGAACCATCAAATTGTAAATTCCAGTTCTGGATAATGAAAGTTACCCTATCTGGCCGTAAAATCTGTGAATTTGGTTCAGAACTAGAAGGTTTAGAAATATTGAGGGGATTCTCATTATCAAAGTTCGGTTGCTGGTTTAAATTCACACGAGAATTGTCATTCCTTGAATTAAGGTTTCTTGGAACAGAGGAAGTATTGGTTTGAAACTGAGTTCCAATGTTAAAATTTTGAAGAATTTTAATTATATTTTTTCAATAATTTGATTGAGTTGAGAATAATCAATTTCATTGGATTTATTTGTGTTGGGATCTCGAATGTGAGCATTTTGTATTGGTTGGTTTTGCTCCGCATTTGAGAAATTCATAATATTATTGTTGTTGTCATTGGAAAATATCTGAGAAGTAGAATCTTCTATTAGTTCGTTCATATTATCCAAGTTATTGCTAGCATTGAGGTTTTCTGAGAGTAATGTCCGACTCAAATTTCTCGTCATTG